TAAAAGCTGCAAAAAAAAAAAAAAAAAAACTTCCACTCTTGGGCAAGTCCTTTAACTTTAGTGTCTCATACAAACATACAAACTGAGGGAGTCAGACTACGTAAGCGATAAGGTTCTATGCTCTAGTCTAGAGCTCTCATATTTATGATTTTGATTTTATAGCTATAAATAAAAAACATTTTAATGAAAACTTATAAATGCAAAATATAAGCTTATTAGAATAAGCTATTTTTAAATGACTTTTTAAAAATCAAATTTAAAATGTACCCCAAAATATCTAGAAAAACTGAATAATGCCATTTTATGGTTAAACTTCTCAATAATTCAAGAATTACACAATACTTCCAAAAAATTAATATGTCTTTACTAATGTACGGTTACAATTCTATCACTATCAATATATTCACACAATGTAATATAAAATACACACAATACTGAGATAAATCCAAATTCTTGGACTTCAAAAAATGTTTTAGGAAGTTTCAGTCCCTTAGAGAATGTGAATATCAACTCCAGCAATATAGTATTATAAATATAAATAAAATAATTTCAATTATTTAAGATCTCTAGCTTGATAGTATAAAGCATGAGATTCCATACAAAGCAAATAACATAACTCCTAATAGTATATATCTCCCAGAAGCCAAAGGAAAAAACAAAATTTTAATAGTAAACGGTTTACAGTATAGTTTACCAAGTACCTGCTATTTGCAAAGCACCATGAAGTTTGTAACTACCACTTCATTCAAAAATGAAATCCAGTCCTGTTTTTCATAAAGTGTAGGTAGAAATAATAACATGGTTACGAAAAAAAATAGTTCTTTTCTCCACCAAGTCTACCCTTCAATGATTTCAAAATCAGAATCTGTCACACATTTGACTAAAAATGAAGAAACAGTACATGTTTTTCACACATATAACCCAGTTGTACTTATAGTTATTTTTTTCAGGAACAGTGATGGATTGGTTATGATTCTACGTATGGTATAAGGGAAGTGTTCCATAGACATGAAACACAGGGAAACTGTATGGTCCAACAAAAATCACAAAGTTACCTGGTAAAATCTACAACTGGGGGTCAGGAGGTCATCTCTGTCCCTAAACAGTCTATGACTTTGGAGGAAAAATTACCACCTTTCCTGGCCTTCTAACGTTTATTATGCCTTTGAGTAAAAAATTATTCTAGATTTCTCTAAGTCTGTTCCTTCATCTGCAAATTTATATGGAATGAGATTAAAATCCAAAAAGCATCACGATCAGTGGTTTTTAAATTTTTTTTTTTGAGACAGAGCCTCAAGCTATCCCCCTAGGTAGAGTGCAGGGGCATCACAGCTCACAGCAACCTCCAACTCCTGGGCTCAAGCGAGTCTCCTGCCTCAGCCTCCCAAGTAGCTGGGACCACAGGC